TGGCCCCTCCCTCGTCTCGCCCTCTCCGAGAGCCTGGCCACGCCCCTACCCCGCAGGAGCGGCTCCCGCCCCGCCTTCTCTGAGTCAGGCCCCGCCCCTCCCTCCCGGAGTCGGGCCCCGCCCCCTCCTTTGCCTCAGGGTCAGGCCCCGCCCCCTTCTCACTCTGTAGTGGGACGCCTCCCTCTTACCTCGGGCTGGACCCCGTCACTATCTTCTGCCTCCTTCCTTCCCTCTAATACACTGTCCCTGGACACTGAACCCTCAGCCTCGCCCCCCAAAGCCCCTAGACTCCTGTAGGAACCCCCAGCCTACTCCGGGGCGCCCAGAACCCCCGCATCTCCAGCCCCGCCCCAGACTCCTCTCCTGAACCCGGGTCCCGCTTACCCAAGGCCCCCAGCTCCGGCGCAGCGGACGGTCTGGCGACGCGGCGACTCGGCATGGCCCGACCAGTGGGGACCGACGGCCGGGAGGCCGGCCCAGATCAAAACACACACGCGGGCAGGCCGGGCGGCCAGGAGGCACGGTCCGGAGGACGATCGCGGGTCGGACGAGCGGCGCAGGGGCTGGGGCCGCAGGCCGGGCTGGACGCGCGGCGCCCGGGGCTGCGGGGGGCGCCGGGCCGGGCCGGGCGGGCGGCGGGCGGGGGCGGGGCGGCGGAATTCCCCGGCGCCGCCGGCCTGCGCGCCCATTGGCCCGCACCCCATCGTGACGTCACGCTAGGGGAACGGGAAAACCCCCACGCGTCACGTGGTCTCGGGGGCGGGGCCGGCCGGGAAGAGGAGGCCGGGCGCACGGGAGGGGCTGGACCAGCGCCGCTGCCCTTTGCTCTGGCGGAGACAACTGAGGCTTGCTTAGGGCCATTCACGTCCTACCCATGGGGCAAGTCGGGAAACTGAGGCCCGTCCCCCAGGTCTGCCAGCGGGAGCTGAACCTGCTGTTTCTCTGGCTGTAAGGGAAGATTCGGGAGCAGGAAGTTGCCAGGGCTCCAGCTGCCATGGGTAGTAATGATCTTTAGGAAAACCACACTCTCTCTATGCCTGTTTCTTCAACTGTAAATTGGGGTTGAAGATACTTAAACGTTTATGGCTAGAATGCCAGTTTTAGGATTTGTCTGTTTTGTTCCTTGCTCTAACCCTAGGGCCTAGAGCAGCCCTTGGAACACAGTTAAGTGTCCAATGAATGTTTCTAGAGTGGATGGACGTTTTATTCTCTCCCACTGCCCCTTCAAGTTTCCTAATAGCCCAGAACACTTTCAGCTCGAGGGCTCGGTAACTCAGCGTGGGAACATCAACCGGGGAGCTCCCAGTGTGCATATACGGAGCTGTGTGCCTGACCCCTGAGCAAAGGGCTTACCTGCAGGCCTCACAGATGCCTCCCGGCTTGCACCAGCATCAGAGGCAAGTGATCAAATCAGGATTATTGCAGAGAGGAGGAGACTGAAGCTCCAAGAAGGGCAGCCCTTTGGTTAGGTCACATTCCTAGGCCTTCCCTGTCCCTGAAAATGACTAGTTGACCATCAGGTCCTAACTGGGATGCCCGGCACCCTCAGACCACAGAGCCAAGGTTTAGCATCCTGTGTCTGCTTCTGTAAAATTTCCATGGATGACCCACACAGCCTCATTGATTCATTTGACATACACTTATTGAGCACCTGCTGTGTGCCAGAGCCTGCCCTGGGCACCAGGTCAGAGCAGTCGCCAAACTGGGCTGGCTACCTGCTCGCGGGAAGCAGAATCGTGTATAGCAGTGGCCTCAAAGTGTGGCCCTCAGCCCTTCGGGTGATGCAGAGAGCTCAAGCCCAAGCTGGAGAGCTACTGCCGTAGAGCAAAATATCAAGCAGACTTTTTCCACAAAAAGCGGCCAAAGACAGCACAGGCGTGGCCGTGTTCCAATAAAACATTATCTTATGGACATTGAAATCTGGATTTTGTGTAATTTTCATGTCAAAGCAAATATTTTTCTTGAGATTTTTTTTTAACCACGTAAACATGTAAAAATCACACAAACTCTAGGAAAAGCTGGGTTTGGCCTGCAGGCTGTAGTCTTGTGTTCAACAAGAGCACTGCAAGAGAGGTTATGATGTGAGGGTCCAGGATCAGGCTGTCTGGGTTCAAATCGTAGGTCTCCCACTTACCAGCCATGTGACCTCAGGCAACTGACTCTCTGAGCCTCCGTTTCCCTGTCTGTAAAATGGGTCTTATAATAGGATGGTTGTGAGGATTAACTAAGATACTAAAAATAGTGGACACTTGCACATGGCTCTTACATGTGCTGGGCACTGTTCCAAAAGCCGGGGACACAGCAAGGAACCCAACAAACAAAAGCCCCTGCCATTACATGGAACTGAAATCCAAGGTGGGGGAGACGGATGGAAAAGTAGAGAAGCAAATATCTATGTATGTCTGGTGGTGATGGCGACATTACAGAATAAAGCGGGATATATGGATTGGGTTTGGAGGGCACGGTTTGGGGGAGGACGTTCAGGGAAGGTCGGAGATGACATTGAGCAGAGTTGAATTGATGAAGGGTCTATGTGGCTATCCAGGGAAGTGTGCAAGGCACAGGGAACAGCGAGTGCAAAGACCCTGAGGCGGGAACACACATGGCATGTTCAGGGAACAACAAGGAGGCTCAGAAGTGGTGGACGTGAGGACTGAATGACGGCCTGTAAGGTGATGGGGACATTGAATAACATTACATTTGATAGATGAAGCAAACCACAAACAACCCTTAGACTAGAGTTTGGTTCATGATAAGAAACATCGAACTGTGGCTCCTACCATAGGACCCGGAGCCCACTTGATGCCCCCCTGCCCCTTGCAAACGTCGGGCCTCACCACTGTTTATTGGGTGAATAACTGGAGGGACAGGTCAGAAATCCTCAGCACTCGGGGCTTCTGCCGGGCTTTGAGCCCCATGAGGGAAGGCCTGGGCTGTCTTGGTCCCTGCTGTGTAAGCAGAAAACACACACACACACACACACACAC